TTGCTTGGGGCTTAGGGGCATCTGGGAGGAGTATGACTTATGAGTAAAGTGATTATGTGGAAGACTCGTGTGGAAAAGGCGTAGGCCGGCCTTGGTGATCCGATGGTTCTTAGTGTCAATTGTGATTACTGATCATGTTTGTTCATTAATACGAAAGATAACTTATCGGACAGTTTTGGTGTCGAAGAGATCAAAGGACGATAAATCTAATCAAATTCCTACAAGCTATTTCGGCATTCCTTTTCGTTTTAGTCATTATTTCAATTCAACTATGGCAAGTTTCGATGTGAGATTGATCCCAGAATTCGACGGTACTGGGGATGTTGTCGACTGGATCGAAAAGGTGGAAATGGTATGCAATCTTCAGCAACCGGCTGCAGATCAAGTGGTAGTCATACCACTGCGATTGAAGGGTGGCGCTTCTGCTGTTTATCGGCAGCTGCCTGAAGTGGACAGGAGAGAGGCGGTTAAGGTAAAGGCGGCTCTGCGACGCGCCTTTGCCGCTGATAAATACACTGCCTATGAAATGTTCAGCGCGCGTCGGCTGGGCACGGGAGAATCGGTAGATGTGTATTTGGCAGACTTGCAACGGCTGTCAACCCTCTTTGGAGGGCTCTCCGAAGAAGGGATGGGATGCGCGTTCGTTGCCGGCCTACCCGAATCTGTGAAGCAAATGCTACGGGCCGGCGCTCGCATGGAGTCATTGACTCTATCTGAAGTCGTGGATAGGGCCAGAGCCATCCTACGGGAAGACTGCAAGGTACCCGATATAACGGCTATGGTGGTGCGACGGGGAAGAGACGGCCAAGACCAGCGCTTCAATGGTGGGAGGAAGGAGCGAGGGCCGTGTTACGCGTGCGGTCGTCTGGGACATATCGCGCGTGAATGTCAGGCGCGTGAAGGAAACGGTCCAAGCATGGTGAGATGTTTCCGGTGCAACAAGCGTGGACATATCGCGGCTCAGTGCCCGGAAAACGAGGAGCGAGAGGCGGTCCATGCGCCGGCCTCCTCTCGGGACTGAGATGGAACGGCGCGCTGCCGGTGAGGGAGCTATCGATGAACGGAGTTGACTGTGATGTCTTAATTGACACGGGATGTACTCGCACTGTGATTCATTCGTCACTCTGCGCTGTTTGGGAGAAGCGGGACGTGTACGTGCTGACGGCCAACGGGGAGAAGCTGGAATGTGCGGGTACGGCTGGTGTTCGTGTGCAGGTTCCGGGGATGGCACCAGTAGTTGTTGATGCACTTGTGGTTGCTAAGAAGCCGCTGGGATTCAGTGCGATTCTCGGCATGGATGGAGTGAGGGCTCTCGGGGGAGTAGCGGTGCGATCGCCCTCTGAGGTAAAGTTCGCCGGCGAGAACGAAGCATGTGGCTGTGTGGGGGACCCGCAAGATCTGACTGTTGATAAGGAAGACTTCCGTGTCGTTTTCGCTGCGGAGCTGCAGCGCTGGACAGTGGAATGGAAGTGGTCCGGTGAGGAGCCACCAGTTCGCCTCAAGAATGGAGTGAGCGAGTATACTGTGCCGGATGAGGTCAGAAAGGACTATGAAGAGGAGATTGAGACCTGGATCAAGAACGGATGGCTACTAGAATACGATGAAGAAGAACACGGTCCCCCGAAAGGCCTGATTCCACTCATGGCAGTGGTCCAAGAGAATAAAGGGAAGGTGCGACCCGTGCTTGACTTCCGCGAGATCAACACATTTGTCGACACGTACACGGCAGATGTTGATGTGTGTGACGAGAAGCTCCGCGAATGGCGTCAGATGGGAGCGAACGTAGCGCTTCTGGACCTCCAGAAAGCATACCTTCAGATACATGTAGACGAATCTCTGTGGCCTTACCAAACTGTCGAGTACAAAGGGACAAGATACTGTCTGAGTCGACTTGGATTTGGCCTGAACATCGCACCAAGGGTGATGAAGACAGTCCTCGAGGCAGTGGTGAATCAAGACGAGGACGTGGCAAAGGCAGTGTCATCATATGTCGACGATGTCTTGGTCAATGAGGATGTGATGTCCGCGGAAAATGTGAGCAAACATCTTCGAGCCTTTGGGCTCCAGTGCAAGGAACCAGTACGACCAAAAGAAGGCGCTCGGATTCTCGGTCTCCGAGTTCAGGAAGAGCATGGCAACCTCAAATGGAAGAGGGACAACGACGTCCGAGAGATCGACGGGCCGGTGACGAAACGCAAGGTGTTCTCGCTTTGCGGCCGTTTGACTGGACACCTTCCGGTGTGTGGCTGGCTGCGGCCAGCGGTGTCGTTCTTGAAGCGAAAGGCTAATGAAGCGGCGGACGCTTGGGACGACGTCATCGAGGACAGTTTAGTGAATGGGCTGATCGAAGAGATAATGACGCAAATAAACACAGATGACCCAGCGAGAGGTCAGTGGGACGTCAAAGGGAACGAGGTGACGGTCTGGGCGGACGCCAGCATGTTGGCCTTGGGAGTGGTCCTCGAGATCGAGGGCGAGGTGGTGGAGGACGGATGCTGGCTGCGACCAACCGACGGAACACATATCAACATGGCAGAACTTGATGCCGCGCTGAAGGGCGTCAACATGGCCATCCTCTGGGGTGCTAAGAGAGTTCGACTGATGACGGATTCGCGTACTGTGTACCATTGGATCACTGACCTCCTGAGCGGCAAAGCACGGTTAAAGACGAAGGCCGTCTCGGAAATGCTTATCAGGCGAAGGCTGAGTACACTGAAGATGCTGGCCGACGAGTACAGCCTGGAGATCAGCGTTCACAGCGTGGCCTCTGCTGACAACAAAGCTGATAAGCTCACCAGAGTGCCGGAGCGGTGGCGAGACACGCGTGCAGGCAGCGGTCCGGCTTGCATCATGGCGGGTGCAGAAGGAGACGAAGATGAAGCCGGGCTAGTGAAGGAGGTGGAGCGGGTGCATCATGCCGCTGGACACCCAGGTGTCAGAAGAACTTTGTACTTTTCCAAGAGGGCAAACTTGCGGGTCACCAAGCGTATGGCACGATCTGTTGTATCAGCTTGTCAGACGTGCCGGTCGATCGACCCGGCACCGGAGAAGTGGACTGGCGGACAGCTGTCGGTAGACATTGTCTGGGAGCGCGTCGCAGTTGATGTCACGCACTTTCAGGGGTGCCTCTATCTGACGATGGTGGACTGCGGACCATCAAGGTTCGCGATTTGGCGCCAGCTGCGATGTGAGAGCGCGGCGTACATCACAGGGGAGATGTCATCGATTTTCTACGAGAGGGGAGCACCTTCAGAGCTGCTGGCCGATAATGCTACCGTATTCCGCAGCCGCGCATTTCAGGCATTCGTCCGTGAATGGGGCACCCGGGTGCGGTACCGAGCAGCGTACGCACCATCGGGTAATGGCATCGTCGAACGAAATCACCGCTCCGTGAAGGTGATTGCTGCGAGGAAGGGATGTGGCGTGCCGGAGGCGGTGTATTTGTACAATGCGACTCCGAGGGACGACTCGACCGACGCAGCAACCCCTGTCAGCATGGTGTACAAGTACACAGTGAGAGTCAAGGCAGTGGATCCGGTTCAGCCCGCTGAAGAGCCCGAGCCAGATACATGCAGGTACAGCGTGGGAGATGCGGTGTGGGTGAAATCGGCGCGGGGGCGATGTGACGATCGGTACAACAAGGGAGTGGTGACTGGGCGAGTGTCACTGCAGACTGTGGAAGTGGATGGGGTGCCAAGACATGTGCGCCACCTGCAGCCCCGTGAGGCGCACGTGGAACAGCCTCAGAGTGATACCGCAGATGACGAAGGGCCGCTCCTTGTGCGTCTCCCAGAGGAGAGCCGGGAGGAGATGGGTCAGGGAGAGGGACAGTGCCGGCGGTCCCAGCGGCAGGTGCGGGCTCCCATGCGGTACGGTTTCGATCAGGATCGGGGAGGAGTGTGATTTAATGTTACCGCTTGAAAGGGCGTTGTTTCAAAAGTGCACGTGAACTGGTCATTATTTGTTAAGTGAATTGAATGTTCTGCTTTTTGGGTCAGGTGGGGTTACCCTAGTGAAAAAATCCTTAAGGACAGTCCTAAGGATTTGTTAAGGACGATCCTTAACAAAATCCTTGTACGAAATTGATACATAATCCTTAAGGATTTGGTTAGAGATTCCTTAAGGATTCTGCGGACAATCCTTAAGGATTTTCAGCTAAATCCTTAAGGATTTTCAGCTAAATCCTTAAGGATTTTTATCAATGTCTTTAAGGATATCAGTCATAGTCCTTAAGGACTCTGTCGTTTTTCCTTAAAGATTGGTACCAAAATCCTTAAGGATATTGGCTAAATCCTTAAGGATTCTTAGCAATGTCTTTAAGGATATCAGTCATAGTCCTTAAGGACTCCGTGGTTTTCCTTAAAGATTGGTACCAAAATCCTTAAGGATATTGGCGATAATCCTTACGGATTTTGAGGCTATTCCTTAAGGAATAGTATAAAATCCGTAAGGATTTTGTATCCATTCCTTAAGGATATTACCATGAGTCCTTAAGGATTAGCATGATAAATTGCTGATGGATCATTAAGGATCGCTTAGTATCCGTAAGGATTTTGTGACCATTCCTGAAAGTTAGGTTGGCATGAATTTGAAATTCACCCCAACCAAGTAAAATTCAAGTGAAAGAATGGGATGAGTCCATGATCAAATCATACACGATCGTGTAATATTCTGTAAGGAACATAAGGTGATATCACAAGAATAACTGAAAAAAAGCATTCGTGAGGGGCGCAAGGAATATTATATGAAGGGATAGCAAATTGGGGTAACTGAAACTCTGGCAAAAAAAAGGACTGTTGCCAACGCGAGTTGTTAATAAATCCTATTGGTAATGGTACGACATTACTTTAACGCAAAATATTGAGTTTAAAAACACATTTAAAATAATTGTCCATTCCTGAAAATTATTGCGTACTCTCAGACTGAATGCACAATGAAGCTATAAGCTATCAATCAATTGACTCGACATCCCTTCAATGAAATTAAAACAAAAGCTTTACCTTGGAGGCTGATGATGCGGGCTCATCTGCATCCAGCAGTTCCAGGACAGCTTTTGACCTGGCTCGTTCGTTTTCTTTTACCGCAGACTTCCCGGTCTTTTTCTAAAAAGAACAAAAACACATCAGAGTTAAGGCACTGCCAATGCATTTAATGGCTAGTACATTTTTGCAATATTCTCTTTGTTTATGGTAGAACAGCCAATGAACATTTACTGCTTAGAAACATGTTAACATATGTATACTATTATCCTACATTCAGACATTCTGCCCCAATTCTCTGGAATATATACATATATGTTTTATTTCTATCATCATATGCCGTATCCTGGGGACAAAGTATCCTGCTACTGACATGGTCAACAACATATGATTACTTTTGAACGCACAGTGAAAGCAGAACTGACTCATTACCTTCTTCTCAGCTTTCTCCACTGAAGAGCTCTGTTCATTCAGCATATCACTCTTGTGAGCCAACTGCTGTGGCTGGTCATCAATGATGGTGAGGATGGCTTTGTTCAGCACAGCTTGTGAGCCTGTAATCAACACAGATTTAGTCTAGTTAACTGCTACATCAAGGTCGTATACAAGGCTGGGTATTATTACAGAAAGAGTACGATCAGGAATGTCACTATAAAAGTCATACCACATTATACATTTTGACCTCCTGAGCTCGTATCTGATAATTATTCATGGCGCAACCAAGTGCAATACACACATGCAATATTTAACATCACCAACAGACGCCCACTACTCCTCCCGCATTGAAGATACATTTCAAGGTTGAGTGAAAAGTCAGATTACATGGTGACGTCATATAAATATTTGTGACAAGCAGTGCAGTGCCGAAGGCAATGCCTTAGGAGAGGTTACAGGCAATGGTAAGTCAAATATTTTTAGTTTAAGCGGTTGTTTAGAAGGCCTGAAGCCTGATGCATAGCCGCTTAACCGCCTTACAATTTAATGAACAGGCATGAAACCCGACAAATATACCAAACTAGGGTTAGTTTCCAATATGGTTAGTTTGAATGAAGTTAATGAATGTAATGTGTTAATGGTTATTTTCATCAAGGACAAAGCCACTTACCAAGTTTCACTATGATCGCTGGGAACATGTCCCGTTCAAATTTAGCTTCCACACGTGCCCCTTCTTCCAAAGGACCCTTGACATCCTTCACAGGAACTACATCCCACTTAGGTGGCTCTTCTATCCATCGCAACAATGCGTAAGCGCCCATGCTCTCAAGCCTCAATCCAGGGAAGATTTGCAATACTGATAACTCCTGATAGTTTTAAAGTCACCGCGCAACAACCACTTCGTCGAGAGACCTGACGCCAGCGTCGTTGCCGCGAACAAGCCGCGAAGGCCAACAATTAGAAGCAAGGCAAGGTTCCTATATGTTTGGAGCAAGGCCATCCCAGGTCAACAGACTAGATCCTAGACTTGAAACCAAGCCGTGAAACTGTTTTATCTGGTTAATTTTAGATCTTTTAACAACATATCATATGAAGTAATTGCTGAAATAAGAACGTATCATGAAAGTACACAAATCCTCTTCAATTGTAGAAAAATAGCAAAAATGTAAGGCTAAGAAAGCTAGTAGGTGCAAGTAGTTGAAAATATAGTAGGAACTCTGTAAGCATCCTGATCATCAATTTTATGTACTAAATTTGTTTGATCATACCTTTTCGTGTTCTTAAATTCAATTTCATGCAGCCAGAAAAATTATTTTATTAAAATATTCTCAAATATATCAGTCATGACTCACTCAGAACCAGAACACCCTGCTCAGAACTAAGGTACCTTATGAAGCAATAAATTAGGTGACGTCATTAGACCATGAACACAACACAACCACACTCGAACAAAATTCATTTCATAAGACTGCATTTATCCATAAAAGCGGACACATGCTAAATAATGGCAGTAATTTAGCTAAGATGGCAAAAAACTAGCTATATTTATAAACAGTTACTAGCAAGTGGAAGGCTACAGCAAGCACGCAGGGCTCATTCAATGACGTCATTTTACTTTTGTCAAAAACAATTTCAAATCTACCAATTGCATTTGCCAGCACCTTGGCCAGCACGGCCAGCAAGGCACGTGGTGTGGCTTCTTGGTGTCGCGTTTGTAGCTCAGGAGATCAAGATTGGGTTGTGCCGAGGCCACAGACAGATTGAGTGGATTGACGGTTCTGAACATATTTTCATAGTTCTGATAGCTTATTCTATTTGCCTTGAGTCCAATAGCTAGGCATCAACTGACCACAGGACAGGGCACAGATTTTTCTTAGCACTTTTTGCCTCTGTCGGTCATCATGGTGGGAGAAAGAAGCGGCGGATACAAGAGGTAAGCCTGAATACGATATCTTCAGAGTGTCATCCCCATATTCATTGGGTTTTCCCATTTGATCCCAGTTTGAGCTGCTTAATCCAAACCAATGGTGGCGGAACACCTTCAATAAATGGGGGGGGCGGCACTGTCGACTTTTGGTCCCATTCTTTCCATTTAATGCCCATAGGGCTAATGTTAAAATGTCAAAATCAAGGGGGTGGGGGGCTTGGTGCCCTGGTGCCCTCCCCGTTCCGCCGCCAATGATCCAAACCAATGTTAATGATACATGCCAGGTGGTGTCATGCAAATTTGTGCTCTGGCTGGAAGACGGCTGACATGGTGTGAACACCTACTGCAGTTAAAAACCATTTATGAAATTGAAATGGTTTAAGATATAAAAATTCTATTTTTTAAATAAATTCCCTCAATCTTATCATAGAATCCGGAAACAATGCACGCCGATCAAATAGCAGGCGTTTCACGTACTGCAACCCATTTGCGAAAAGTCGCCTCAAAGCAAGCTATAAATTAGGATCAATTATCCCATTGGATTCTATGTACAAAATATATCTTGAATACGCAATTTCACAGGAGCGAACAAACATGTAAATATAAAACATAGCAAATGAAATAGGGATCACTAGTCCAAGTGGACCTCAACATATTCAACCTGTGAAATAATGTTTTCATATGATTTCAGGTCAATACCTGTACAAAATTATTAAATGTGACTAAACGGAGCTCGTCGTGCAGGCTTTGGTACATAATAATTAAACATCAGCTTCTGGGCAGACTACAAAATATGGCTGGATCTGAGATAACAAATTTGCACCTGTTTGCACCAAGCAGGATGAATATTCACACCAGTCTATTCTACACCAAACAAGACCCAAAACTTTGTAACACAAATGATAGATTTACATGTGTGATAAGACAAAGCTGCCATAGATCAATCGTTCCCTGGTTGAACCTGTTGCGTCTCCCTTGCCCCGTTTTTGAGGTAATGCTACCCAGCATTGTGGTTCAACTCCAGCTGTTTCAGGCATGTTTCACTGTTCACAGGTTCTTGGATTCTGATGAGCAAATGTCTCGCCAGACAGGATGGAGGAGAAAAAAGCCCAAGAGTTCTACAACTGAACAGCGGTCTGAGGACTTCCAGATTGTAAGTCAATATTGCCATTTGCCTTTGGCATGTGGTTTAGGAAATGCATCACCTCCCCTCGCACGACCAGGGGCGTTGATGCGCCCCTCTCTAAGGTTTTCGTAATTAAAGTAAAAAACAAGTTTGGCATCCCTTTTAGATCATTATTCTGGCATATGATATAATCTGAGAATCTCAAGTCCTATATATTTCAGTTCAGGTCTTCAGATTCCAAAAACTGATACACATTTGGTTAAAATCGGAATGTTTAAGTGGCATAGGAATAACCAAGTCGTTCATAAATAACCTTAGTATGTACATTAGTATGCAAAAATAAAACGCCTACCTATTTGCATTTAACAGTACATCTCTTTCATTGCAGGCACCAGACGAAAACAGCAGGGAAGAGCCCTGCCATGGTGATACAACTGGAACCATTGGCGATGCTGCCATGGTGCAGCAGACTCCGTCTCTCAGCCCTGGACCCCATACCGAGGTTCCGGAAGCCAACGAGGCAGGCAGTGATAACGATGATTTGGATGCAGGTGACATCGAGGAGCAGTGTTCGGAACCTGGTGTGCCAGATATAGGTGATCTGTCTGACGGGGACGTGATGAGTGTCATTCTTGCTTTTAGCATTCGACATAACTTGTCCAAAGTTGCTGTAAAAGACTTGCTTGACCTGCTACATGTGCTTGGGACAACTAGAAACGTGCCTGAGTCCAGGTACAAACTTTTCAAAACCATCATGGAAGAAATAAGTGAACAGAAGTTTACACATTTTTACTGTTCGTTCTGTTTGGCCTACATAGAAGGCGAGCCGGATGGCTGCGTTGCATGTGAACAGCCGTTCTCTAAGAAAGACGCTTTGAAAAAGGGAAACTATTTCCTGTACATACCAATGCGCCAGCAAATCAAGGAGATGCTGGAAAGTGGCTATGTAGCACGAGAAATGATATGCTGTGATCATGACGCAGACCTCCTCTGTGACGCAGTAGACGGAAAACGCTGCAAGCGTTTCAGTCGGCCTGGTGACGAAGGTATCCCCTTTCTCACCATAAACTGGAACTTTGATGGGCTGCCAGTCTATAAAGCATCAAGTGCTTCACTTTGGCCAATCCTGGTCCAGATCAATGAGCTCAATTATTCTGCCAGGAAAGAACAGCTCTTGATGTGTGGCCTTTGGCTCGGAGACAAAAAGCCGCTTTGGTCGACGTACTCGAAGCCGTTTCTTGCGGAGCTCAAATCAATGGGCACCGATGGCATATCTTGGCGCAGAGGTTCAGAACTGATGCGGACCATCATTAAGACCCAAGCCATCGTGTGTGATGCACCAGCGCGATGCATGGTTCAAGGCATCCACCAGTTTAATGGGGCATATGGGTGTGCGTGGTGCCTTCATGAGGGAACTGTGGTGCGAAAGGGCGACGGGACAGCTCGTATTTACGAGCACAGAACGGATGTCGAAAGGCGCACGCATGCCAGTGTCATCGCATCTGCGAGGACTGCTATTCAGGAGAACATCAGTCACCATAACGGTGTTAAAGCAGCCTCTCCCCTTCTCCTTTTGCCGGCGGAGTGCGGAGTAGACATCGTTGATAGTTTTTCAGCAGATTACATGCATGCGATTCTGCTGGGTGTCGTGCGCCAGTTTCTCGATCTTTGGTTTTCATCGAAGTGGAGCTCGTCGCCCTTTTCGATTAGGAGCAGCTTGCGAGAAGCGGATGATCGGTTGATGGCAGTTAGACCTCCCCAGGATCTATCTCGAACTCCAAGAACGCTTCGCGATTCTGCCCACTGGAAGGCGTCTGAGTGCCGAAACTGGCTCCTTTACTACAGTGTACCAGTCTTGTTTGGGTTGTTGGCTCCTCGGTTCCTTGACCATTGGTGCCTGCTGGTGAGCGCTGTTTTCGCCCTTCTTCAAGGACAAGTAGCGGCATCAGAAGTGCTGAGGGCGTCACATAAATTGTTGGCCTTCAACAAGGGTGTCGGCTTGTTGTATGGCGATGAGCACATGTCTAGCAACGTGCACGCGTGCATTCACCTAGGAGAGAGCGTCAGGAACTTGGGACCACTCTGGGCCTGCTCTGGTTTTCCTTTTGAAGGGTACATGATGAAAATAAAGAAGTTTTTCTCGGGAACCACTTACCTCTCTGATCAGGCAGCAAACACCTTCTTGATGCTGAGGATCCTGAAGAAAAGTACATCAAATGAACAGTGCAACGAAAAGGTAGCCAGGCTGGTCCAGAAGTGGCTTGGTGTATACAGTCATTTAGATCGTGCCATGAGGTCGCCTGACAACAGCGCTGTGGGTCTGAACTCTCCGAAAGCTGGGCGTCTGCAGGAGTACGAACGGCGCCTGCTTCAGGGACATGGCATTGATGTATCTGCGGATACCAGTGTCTTCCACTTCAGTCGTGCGGTGATTGGCGGGAGCATCTGCTGCACGGAAGAGTACGGCCGTTCCATGAAGCGGAACAGCTTCACTCTCTTCACACGGTTCGGCATTGGGTGTGTGCAAAACATCTGCTTCCTATCCGTTGATGGCATGGAATGCTTCCTGTTCTTGAAAAGGATGGAGGCTGCCAGCTGCCCCATCCCATCTCTCGAGCATGTCAGGAATGTGCGTGCCTCCACTTCCGGTGCGGTATTTTTGTGCAGGGCGGCAGATGTTCTCTGTAACGCTGTCGTGGTTCCACGTACTGTGAACGGCGAGCATGTGCTGGTATGCTGCAGGCAACCGAACAAGGTGGAAAAAGACTAGTGTCTTGTAAAGCGGAAAAATGGCGATGCTACCATTGCGCGTCACCTCAGCGCGTCGTGCTTATGCGTGTATGTGTGCACATGTGTGCAAGTTGCTTGAGCTGTCTTTGAACGAATGAACTGTCATGCTGGAATACAGCAGATTCGTGAATCGACCAGGATCAGGTTCGTGCAGATGTGATCTCAAAATACATGCAAGTGAGGAATGTGTGAAACTATTTTCTGTGTTTCGGTTGCACAAAGCTAGAAGAGTATTGTTGGATTGAGTTGTGTGAATAGCTGCCACCATTCAATGTCGTGCCCTCATTCATTGTCACCGTATGTGAAAGCCATCGGTACCTGCATGGAACGTTACAGCTGACGAGTCCCCAAAACTAGTCTTTTTCTCCGAATTAGAGAAAAGCAGTGTGAATTAAATGTGCATTTAAAATTGGAATGGTACATGGTGACACAAAGCGCTATAACGAACGCTGGTTCACTTGACATATTGAACGTGGTCCGCCACAAAGTTGTTGCACGGAATGATTCGCAGGATAACCTATTATTCAATAATGATGATTGACGGACCAGCACTAGTTGTCGTCCAACAGTAGCTGCGGAACACCTTCAATGAGGGGGCGGGCACTGTCGACTTTTGGCCCCATTCTTTCCATGCAACGCCCATAGGGCTAATGTTAAAATGCCAAAATCAAAGGGGGTACGGTGCCCTCCCTGTTCCGCCGCCTATGGTCCTTAAGGATTAAGCGACAAGAAACTTCTTTACGGAATAACGGGGGATTCTTAAGGATATCAGAGAGCGCATTCAACTCCTTACGGATCGGCGAATAAATCCTTAAGGATTCAAGCGGGCCTGAAGAATCCTTAAGGATATCAGAGAGCGCATACAAATCCTTACGGATCGGCGAATAAATCCTTAAGGATTCAAGCGGGCCTGAAGAATCCTTAAGGATTTCATATCCAATCCATACGGGTCCTTATGGATCCTTAAGGATTGTGGGGATTCTTACAAAATCCTTAAGGACTTTTTCACTAGGGTAGGCCCTGGCAAGAAGGGAAGATTGCTTGGGGCTTAGGGGCATCTGGGAGGAGTATGACTTATGAGTAAAGTGATTATGTGGAAGACTCGTGTGGAAAAGGCGTAGGCCGGCCTTGGTGATCCGATGGTTCTTAGTGTCAATTGTGATTACTGATCATGTTTGTTCATTAATACGAAAGATAACTTATCGGACAGTTTTGGTGTCGAAGAGATCAAAGGACGATAAATCTAATCAAATTCCTACAGCCCCATGGGGCTTTTTGCCCCGCGACCTACTGGGGCGTTTTACCCCATCACGTAGTTCGGTCAGAGAACAACGCTTTGCACTCCAGCAAGACATAATTTAACACGAACCAACCCGGCATGATAAGCGTTAGACAATAGTTGTTCAAAATACATAAAAGTCGTTAACCTGATGTGGACCATAAAGGAACGCCATCATGCCTAATCTGACAACAAAACATAAAAATCACTCAAAAAACACATTTTTGGCTATATCTCCCGAAAGAGTCATCACAATTTCTTTCCAGTCTGCTCATATAATGTTCATATAGTGCACGTTTTATAGAAGAGAGGATGTTTCCCCAGAACTCTGCCAGTTCCGAGAAACATCGGTGAGGCGTTTTACCTCGGCGGGGCGACTTGCCCCGGTCTACCCTACCTAAATGTTCGTGCATTCATAGCTAGAGCATGACAATATTTTCATATGTTTCGTGACACGTGTGACGTCATAGACAAGCACATAAGCATCTGGTCCGACACATTTTGCACTTTAAATGATCGTTAGTCTCCAACGTTTCGTTTGAGCCCAAAAACACGTCTGTATCTCATATAGTTTCTTAGTTATGAGCCCTGGCCAGTTTTGGTCCAGAGTTAAAACATAGTGCACTGCTTCTGCGGATTAAGTGCTACCATCCGACAAGAGATAGAAACACCACGTGACCAAGGTCACCGCAGGGCAAGTTCACATGATGGTGGGGCAGGGCGAAGGGAGCTTTTGCGCCCAGCACTAAACAAAGTACTCTGCAGTCATTGGGCGCCTTGGCTTGGACGGAAGTCGGGGCAGGATGCAGCTGTTCACCGTTGCTCGGGGGTACGAGGCGTTCTAAGCCACACTTACTAGTTTTTTTTTGCGTTTGTAAAAAGAACGTGGCGCCCAGCGCCGGCGTTCTTTACCGCAGGGCAAGCTTATTATACATCAATTTCGCATCATGCGTGAAATCTTTTACCCCATGTCATATTGTCGTATAAAGCAAGTCACCTGGCCAAGTTAAAGTGACCATCCCACCTTAGCATTAGTTTTGAGTTGAGATAGCCAAATTGGGGTCCCTGGCCTGCAATTTGCGGTTTGGGCACCCAGAACATCAAGACGTGCCTTAACCCTCGCATGTGTGCGGCGTTTGCCAGCTTCTAATGTGTAGGGGGGGGGGTCGGTTGGACCCCCCCCCCCCCCCTTGCCGTTTGGCCCCTGATCGAGCTAGAGCTACACGGAAAAAAACGAGCGTGTTGCCCGTGACGAGAGGAAGCCGATGATACCCAATTTTAAGGTCCTAGGTCATTGGTTGACCTTCCAGGTCAGGTCAATAACCCAAAGTCGGGAAAATCGGGACCTGTTAGAAAGTCGTAAAGTGTGGTTGCTGAGGGTTTTTTCGGGGTGCTGATCACGAATATCGTGTTAGTTTTGATCACAGATGATGTCTTTAAGCATTTAGACCAGGTCGGGTCAGGTCAGGTCAGGTCAACCAGTAGGCGTCGTGACGGGTATTCGTAGTACGTGTCAACCGCCTCTGACGGCTTCGTAACATGTTACGAAGGCACCAAAACTACTTCGTAAATGTTCAAATGGTTGCTAAATTCGAATTCAGCTCCAAAAACTAGCCTAGAAACATGTCCAGCTCGAAAAAGTGAACCGAGGTCACCCGAGGTCACCAAAGGTCAATGACCTGACCTGACCTTCAGGTGACGTTGTCACCCACCCTAATGCATGGAAGCAACATCAAATCACATGTTTGAACGTTTGAAACCACGAAAAGCTTACAAATGCGCGGCTAATGCGAGCCGACATACGCAGAATCGCGATTCTGGCCAAACATGGTCTCGGAAAAGAGGTCACAGGTCAAAGGTCATTTGGGTCAGGGTCATGAAATTTTCAGGGTAGGTGTAAAATTTATCAATGTGAGGGTACTGAAAGTTTCGTCGCGATCGGCCGTTTTTTACGCGAGTTATTCGCGAAAAACCATGGGGGGGGGGGTCCATCCGACCCCCCTCCCCTACACATGCGAGGGTTAATTTGAACATTTTGTATTACAAAGCCTGCATTTTTTATTCTATGTGGTTAGTGTATTTGAATGAACCTGAGAATTTTTTACGTCAGCGCAGATCTAGCGATTTTTAGATATTATACTAAAACCTTAGCAACAGATAATTGTTGCTGTGGTAGCTTATGCCTTGCGCGCAACAACTGTCGCACTTTTGAGACACCAAATTATCGCTTTCAAATGATGTCAGAGGAGCAGCTGAGACACACAAAAATATACAAAAATAAAAGTGGCTGTTTCTGAACCATGGTACATCGCTTTTATGCTAATTTTTAGCTTTTTTAAGGTGGGAGGGTCCCCTTAACCCTCGCTAGGACATGCCATTTTCCCATCCTAGAACGCACATAGGGGGGGGGGGGAGAGGGATGGTTGTCACCCCAGGGCCCAGTTGCGCAGTCAGGATTTCTTTTCGGGGGGTCATTGCCTCCAAAGCGGGGCCCCTAGTGTGCGGGCCCCCACCCATTTTTCAGAATTTCTCTATATTTCATACGCATTCTGCTGAGAAGGCCCCTTTACCTGCAGCTGTACGATAACCCTGACGAGTTTGAATCGGAAGGTTTTGATATAACAATAGCTCGGTAATCACCCGGTGTTCAATTTCTACGCAAATTGACCAGGACAGAAATATACTGTTAGGTACTATGAAGTGTATGAATTCGTATCTTTCGAGGCCGAAATGTGCCCGCTCAGCAATATGCATTATGCATAGCATATATGCAAACGGAGAGCTGTTGCCTGCTTCTGTCGGACAAGATATGATATGATACATTGATACATATGTGGTCCCATATGTGCCTGTCCTAAGTCATTTATTGGCTGCTGTAGTAGATGGTGCCATTATTCTTCTTCATTACGTGAATTCGCTCACAAGAAATTTTAACTCGCTCATATGGGACATTTATTGCCTTGGGCCGGGGTTGTTGTGGTGTGGTGATGTGGTGACTAGCATGGCAAAAGCCTCAACGCTTGCCTATATGCCGGTGATGATCTGCTATTAAAGCTGTCTGCGGTGGCTCTCAGCTTCCGCCCGTGTTCGTCCAGCACTCCTGCCTGCTGTTGGGGATGCTGTCCCAGTTCATGGAGAAGGACCCCGCAGTCGCTGGCCGTTGGCGTGGGTTGAATCTTTGATCGTCGGCAGCGACGGTCACCCGAGGGCAGCCAACGTTCTGATTAGAGTTGCAAAGTTTTCCCCAAAGGCTGCTACCGGCACCGCCCCGCCCCACAAAAATTTTCTGGGATACCGGCGTGCTACCACGCCCCAAGCAAAAAAACCGCCAAATTACCGGCATACTAAAAAAACCTGCATTCTTAATTCTAGCTTACCCCTACAAGAGATGCCACATTTTGGCATGCAGTACCTGTCCCACCCAGCAGCCATCCATTGTCCAACCACAAATACCAGCAGGCTGATTTTGGCTGAGTTGGCCCCACAAATACCCAAAATTTTGAAACTCAATTTCAGTCTATAACTGTTAAAATATCACCTGTAATCAAAGCGGTATTGCCTACAAAAAACTAACACATTCAGCAAAAAGGCGAGGACAAAAAGAACTTGAATTACTGAAATGTGTTTTTAAAGACTGGACAGTGAGCACTGAGCAGTAATCACATTTACATTTCACAGGTGTTCTACTTTTCCACATTCTCCTAAAATGTTGCAGGCACCAGCCAAATGTTTAAAATATAGATGGTCAAAACATAAACATGTACAGATTCGGCCATCTTCTTAACTGAGGAAGCGAGATCAACATCTACTGTTTCCTATCCACCATGGCTTGCTGGTTCGTGAATAAGATACGAATCATGTAAAAAATTAGTTAATAACTCACTGGTCCTGAGAACAGTCACCAAATAATATGTATAAAAACCAGGGATGCGGAGCCGTGGAAATTTCAGACGGCTCCGGCTCCGGCTCCGGCTCCGGGAAAAAAAATCGGCTCCGGCTCC